AATACAGTTAAAAAATTGACTATTTAATTAAAAATATTTTACTCTATAACCATTTAATACAGTGATGACTTAATAATAAATTCATACCTGTACGAAACTATCATCATGCTCTTGTATCTAATAATAATATGGTTGTTGTTTTATAGTCTGTACCATTTGCACAGGATATTGATACTGTATTACATAATTAGATACAGTATATTATCATTAATTGCATTGTAAGTATAATTGTAATTATTGTATTGGATTGCAATTTCAAGGCATTCAACATTAATAATTCTTTAACATTATATGAACTTTTCAGACTAAAAGTGTATATTTTAACGCAATTCCTTGAGCTATCCATATCAAGGTTAGACCCCCGCAGGTCAACCGGGAACTTCTGGCAACACTATTTTACTTACGAGTTAGAGGGGGAGAGGGGTTGTGTATCAAGTCTATAAACTATAATTTTTTAATCGAATTGCGATTAATAATAGATTTAAAGCAGATTTTGATGCATTTTGCACAAAAACGTGTAGGCGAGTACAACATAAGCAATTGGGATGCGATTACTATATACGGCAACAATTAAATCCTTCACAAAACATAAGCTTTTATTTAAAACTCATTCGCAATTAAATTTTTGTATTATAGACAATATAATATCTGTACAGCAAAATACGGTGCATATTGTGTGTTGTATTGATGCAAATACTGGCTATCAGACCATAGGATACACAACTTTACCGGAACTTATACTCACATAATTAATATATTCCGTGATAATAATGGCGTTCAATAGACAAAAGACTTTAACAGCGGTGAAGATTGGTCTGGAAGTGCTGTATGTGTTGGCAATCATTGGCTGTATTGTTCTCATAGTGTTCAGTGGTATGGCGTTAAAGGAAGGCAACGAAATTTATACTAATAAAGAGCATGGTAATATAATATTCTATTTTTTAGCCCACAACAATAAATGAATAAAATATAATGTATAATTTATACTACAATATTAATATAGATTTTTTGGTTGTTAATAGTTTTAAGCTAAAGTTTTATAAGTTTGTTATATAACTAATGATAAAGTATACAGCGATATATGAAACTAAAGTTATAATGATAAATTAACTAAATTAAATGTTTATTTACAGCGAAACCCGCGTTGATTATCGCTGTGCTAGGTCTATTAATATCCATTATAGGTCTGGTGGGTATCATTAAAGAAAATATATTGACCGTGGCAGTTTTGCTGGTGTCGGTCATTATCATTGGTATTATAGCAAACCTGGTCATTGGCGAGTTTTGGTCAGCTTATTGGGCTATCGTTTGTGCTGTGCTCACCGCTGTGTATTTGTACTTGATCATTATTAAAGCAAACGAGATTGGGCAAACTACCAGGGCCTGACTTAATGTAATATCACATTACTAATATATTGTAAATTATACTTATTTTGAGTAGTTTGTAAATTTTACCATGTATTGTTTTGTTGTTTTTTTTAAATATTTTCTAATGTATTAATAATAAGATAAAATACATGTTTAGAAATAATTGTAAATATTGTTTTGTTGTTAATCAATAATTGTGTATATGTTGTGTAACTTTAATAAACATTAATTACAATGTAAAGTTTTAGTTTAAATAAAAAAACTTTTAAATTAACTAACATGTAAAAACATAAGAGTGTATGGGATGGCCATTGTATTGGATTAACGTTCAAGGATTTCAACAATTATTAGAGAGACAAACATTGGAGAACTTCCAGACCTTGATATTTGTTTTGATGTGAAACTCATTTAACAACATTTAATTACTACATACTTGTATATTATTATTATCACAACATATAATAACAGTGACGGTAAATATACGCCGTATTAGTGTCTGTATTGACATAAATACTCGGCTATTAACCGATGCATTGAATATGATAATCCGTGTTTTTTCTTTTAGGTGATTTTTACATGACTCAATTTGTTTATTTAAAAAATATTCTGTGATCAAAAACTACATTCATTAGTGAACAAATTGATGTATTAATATAATTTTAATCTCGATATAATCCGTGTTTTTTCTTTTAGGTGATTTTTACATGACTCAATTTGTTTATTTAAAAAATATTCTGTGATCAAAAACTACATTCATTAGTGAACAAATTGATGTATTAATATAATTTTAATCTCGATTGGTTCAGAAATGGCAGACCTCTAAAGACATGGATGTCTTAATTTGCTTTGGCAGTCAATGTAAAGTTGCGTTGAATTTTACATTGATTAGAAAACTTTTGTACAAAAAAATCTTATCCCAATTTAAATAATTTTTTAAAAGATGTATAATGTATTTATGAGTGTTAATTATTATTATATTTTTAAATTTCATTTTAAATTAAGATTCTAAGCATTACAAATTAACGTCGATTTATTCAATATTAATTTTAATGAGAATTCAGTTAATAAAACGTTTAAATAAACGCGCCAAAGCAAATTAAGACATCCATGTCTTTAGAGGTCTGCCATTTCTGAACTAATCGAGATTAAAATTATATTAATACATCAATTTGTTCACTAATGAATGTAGTTTTTCACCACAGAATATTTTTTAAATAAACAAATTGAGCCATGTAAAAATTACCTAAAAGAAAAAACACGGATTATTCAATGCATCGGTTACTCCATAGGAGACCGTATTTATCGTTAATTATATTGTCAGCGATAATAATGGCGTTCAGTAATCAAAAACTGTTGACAATACTCAAGATTGTGATGTCTATTCACATGACTTTGGCCAACATATACTGTATTTATATAATAGTGGTGTGGGGTATGGCGTTGGGTGGCGACGAAACTGGCCCAGATGAAAACACTATAGATAAACAGAAAGGTAATTCAATAAATAGTTTTATTTAAAATGTATAATTAATCACCTTAATAATACAGTGACAATCGGGTTGGTCATCACTGTGATTGGGCTATTGGTGGGCATTATTGGTTTGGTGGGTGTTATTAAGGAAAGCAAATGTATCGTGATCATGTTGCTGGTGGTGACCATCGCGGCTATTATAGCCAACTTTGCCATGGTGATGTTTGTGTCAGCCGTGTGGGGTATTGTGGTGGCTGTGGTTACGGCAGTGTATTTGTACTTGATCATTCAGAAAGAAAAGGAGACTGACTTTACTGATGTATAATTAAATGTGATGTTTATTTTGGTAATGTTGTGATACTACTAGATTTACTAAAATCTATTTTTTGTTTTGTTTATATAATAATTATTGCATATTAGTTGTTCGGGTCTACATAATGATAATTATTTTTATAAATACTGCATGCAATTAAATTATTTTTGCTTAATTAATTACAATCAGAGGTTGGTTTGACCTTATTAATTTAGTAGCAAATTTATAAAATTAAATTTTATAAATAATGGAATACTTTGATTAAATTTTGTTAATTGTTATTAATCTATGGACTAATTGTAAAAATCTCATTGAGAAAAATGTTTTATTGTTAAATTATTGTCATTATTTACAAATACAATGAGTAAGTTTATTAAAGAAACTTTTTAAAATTTAATTTATATACTCAAATGTTTTAAAAATTGTAAAATCAAATAATTTACACTTGAATTTACGCATAATTAGAAATCATTTAATTAAAAATATTCAAATAGAATCAAATCATAATCACTTAAAATTTTAGACTAGAAAAGTGTGCTTTGTAATACAAAGTTTGTATAATACTCAACAAAATTAACATAGGGCATTTATACTGTTACAGCTAATTGTTATTACATAAATATAAATACTGTAAGTGGTAACTATTATTGAATCAACTATTTCAAGGCATTTGTCAATTGTTACATCCCGCACAAACACCCAGAGGCCTACCAGTCCTTGGTTAGAGCTTTTACATACATCTAATTCACATTTAAATAGATGTATTAGTATTATCATAACACTATTAGTGTTGATATTGATACAGATAGTGAACAATATTAGTCAATCAGGAGAGAGATATCATTAGTTAATTGCATATTTTTGATGATAATAATGGCGTTCAGTAATCAAAAAACATTGACAACCCTTAAGATAGCGATGTCTGTACACATCGTATTGGCCAACATTTTCTGTATATATAAAATAGTTGCGTTGGGTATGGAGTTGGGCGGCAACGACACCGACCCTAATGGATATACAATTGATAAACAGAAAGGTAGTTTTAAACTTTATGTTTTACTATTAATAATGTTTAATTTATTACCTTGATCATATAGTGATAATCGGATTGGTTCTGGCGGTGTTAGGGCTATTGGTGGGCATCATTGGTCTGGTGGGTGTTATTAAGGAAAACAAATGGATTGTGATTGTTTTACTGGTAGTGACCATCGTAGCTATTATAGGCAACTTTGTCACCATGATGTTTGTTATGGCTATATGGAATATAGTAGTCGCTGCGGTAACGGCAGTTTATTTGTACATGATCATTCAGAAAAATAAAGCGGTTGGCGCTACCAGGGCTTGATTTATGTTTGCTCGCTTTAATAAATGTTGTGGTTAATTGTTTTATATTAATTGTATGTATGTTTTGTTTGATTTAATTTTTAATTATTTTTATAGTTATTGTCTAATGAATTTTAACTAGTTTACATAACAGCTTAAAAAATGTTTAGTTTAAACAATGCTATTATTTTACAAATGTAAATTAATAAGTCGAACTTTGTCCATTTTTATAATTATTAATGTCATCATACCATGTTACTATTCAATATTAATACAATCGTATTTTACATGTCATAACCGCATAAATTAATTGTTAAATTTTAATACAATACCACATAAGAAAAGTATTCATGTTACATAAAGTTGTCAAATATACTGATCAAGTTTCTTTCAATGGTATCATACCCTCAGTAGCAAAACAATACTATACTGTACAAAAACAATTAAAATATTATTAATTATCAGCAGTTAATTATAATGCCATTTAAATACAACACAGCCCTTAAACTACTGAAGGTCATATTGATAGCCCTGTATGTGGTGGCCATCATTGGTAGCGTTGCCATTGTAATCATCTGCGCCCGTATGGCGATGGCCATCACCAGTGATCAAAACTATAAAACACAAAGTAAGTTTTGTAGCAACGCTTATAATATATTTTTATAATAACTTTTTATAAGTTATAACTTACCATGCTTAATTCCATCCATATAATCATCATGATAATAGTGACAGTAATGCTGGTTATCTATATATTTTGCGGTCTGATGTGCGTTATGGCAGTGGTAGGCGTGGCCAAGGAATCTGGTTTCATAATGATCGTGATGATTGTGCTGACCAGCATCGAGACGGTAACAAACTTTGCGATTGGTCAGAGTCGGGCCGGAATGGCTGGTGTTGTGTTGGTTACACTCAATGTGGTGTACTTGAGACTCATCATTATGAGAAAAAAGGCTGGTGGTCAGATGGTTGTGCGTGATCATGCTTAATTTATGGATATTTAATTTAATGATATAAATTTATTTATGGTGTCGGACAATAATTGTCAATTAGTAGACAATAACAATATTATCATTTTTTAATTTTTAATATTCTATTGGTATAATTTGAAATTTATTTTATACATTGTAGTTAATTATGTTTAGGTTTGGTGAGTATTAACAAGGGCACTTTGATTGTCATTAGTTTTATATAATCTTATATTGTATCATTAATTATTTTTAAATTTACAATAGATTTTCTATATCTCGATCCTTTTGTAACTCGATATCATCTATAACTCAAACTATTATCAAATTATATAATATTTTTATAAATAGTAATTTTAATTCTAATTGTTTTTAATTACTACAATTATTTTCTGGCAAAATGATGTGTAACAGCACAAAATTTTCAATAAAGTGGTCAATGTATAATTTATTAGTACAATGTAAAGTAATTCAATTGTATAGAATAATGTAAATTAATAGAAATGTTATAATAACACAAATCGCGGTAGGTACTATAATATATCTAATTTTATAAAACAATTAATTAACTAAATTATAGTCAAATTAAATAATTATAAAATACAAAAATATATAAAACCACGAAAAAAAGTTACTATTACCTTGTTTAAAACTCAAACTTCTATTTCCCACACAAACTACAATGAACTATATTTTTAACTTGAAACTTTTTATTGGATAACGTTTCTCAACGCCCACAATAAGCCGCTTTGGACGCAGAAGAATATCTGTAGCAATGAAAATAACGGGCACATCAGTGGAGGGCACCCGATAAAAGCAAAATTGTTGAATTAATTTGCCCAGGCACAATTTAGCCTCGAGCATCGCAAAGCGCATACCAATACAATTACGGGGTCCGGCGCTGAATGGTAGGTATGTATAGGGTTTGATGTAATGACAATTTTGGGGCAAAAACCGGTCGGGTTTGAAGGCCTCGGGGTCGGGATAGTAGTCCGGGTCGTGATGTATGGCATACACCGGGATCTCTAGCGGAACTCCTTTTTCAATCTTAATTGTTGATCCATTGCTACCATATGTCAGAACTACGTCCTCTACGGCCTCTCTCTCCACTCTCATTACTGGTGGATATTTGCGAAGAGTTTCCGATATAACGGCGTCGAGGAGTGGGAGTCGGCAAAGGGTTTCGTAGTCTATGTCTGCCGTGTTTTCATTGAACGCCTCTTTGGTCTCCGCCACCAACAGGTCCTGAATATCGGGATTGAGTGCCAATTCATAGACACAATACGACAGAGTTGTGGCCGTCGTCTCATAACCGACGGCAAAGAAT